CCACTGTTGTGTCCGCGAGCGTCCCGACGCTTTCTCTTTCTTTTTTCTCTCTTATAGACGGATAATTCCTCGTCATCTTTCTTTGTACATTTTTACTGACTATCTTTGGTTTTTCACAGCAATCATGCATGCGAAGCTTAGCAGGGCAACATGAGTGATTGCTGTCAGATGGGGCCCCTTTAGGGAGCTTTCCTACTGTAGGAAGGGCCGCTGCTTTGGTTTAAGTTTGTCTGAACCTCAAGGGGGCCTCCCCCTACTGGTCTGGGGCCCCAAGCAGTTGCCTGCCCTGCCTGTTCACAAGCAGTGCCTCTGATTTCCATTCATAAAGGAATCACAAATGAGCCTCATGAGCTCGACAAAATAAATTCTGACTCTTTTGAATACTTTAAGGAATACCAAGACATCCTTTGTGATGTGGCCTTAAGAGTGGTTAGGTTTCTCTTTCTGTATATTTGAAGGATTTCTGTATATCCTCTCCACAGAAGAGGAAGTTTCTTATCAAGATTCTGGTCAAGCTATGAGTAATGTTACTGCGTCTTTAACCAAAACCCTGATATCCGGGGGTGTGCTTGTGTGTTTGTTTGTGTGTTTCTTGGAAAGGAAATCGGACTAAAGCTCCTTCATGTTTGGACTCAAACAGACACGCACTGTCAGAGACACCATCCCCGCACACACACACATAATAAACACACACTCCCAGCACACGCAGACTGCAGCTCTTTGAGGCCGAGCAGCGAGAGCGGCAAATGATCCCCGAAAAAGTTTGCTGTTGCTATCGACAAAGCAGCCTCTGTTCCTCATTTTGCGCCCCCCCCCACCCCCACCACCACTGCCGCCCACCTCACCCTCCCGCCTCCTCCTCCTCCTCCTCCCACACATTTCATGCCTCCGCCCTCCTCTAACCCTCCGTTGCTTCTCTGTTCCTTCTCTTTTTCTGTGTCTATGCCCCCTCAGCCATGCTCCATCCGCTCTCGTCTTTTTAATTCAGCTCACTTCTCTTCTCTTCTCTCCTCGCAATTTTGGATGTAGGGCAGGAAGAAGGAAACAGCGCCAAGTTCTATTTGACAGGGGAGAGCAGGGGCTAAGGCTGCAGCACTTTTAGTGTATGTGTGGGATGCTGTGTGGTAACTAGAGTGAGGTGTAAAGGGAGAGCGAGGGCAGAGAGAGGGGACGGGATGGGACTTGTTTCCACATAGACACCTTTTAAAAGACTGACCATGCAGCAGATCTTCTATATCAATTGTTGGGTTTCTGAGGGATGCTGGCAACAGTCTGATTTTACTTTGTAAACATCTAATTCTGGAATATACAGGCCAACCCCCCCCGCCCCCCTCCCCAATCCCACTCTGGCCTGCACTCACATTGCTCACGGCCCAACCCGGTCTGAGAACGGTCATCACATCAAAACACTGGATAGCCGCGGGTTTTTCCAAAGACCACTGAGTTTTCGGGGGTTTTATCCAGCTGACTCTGAATATTCTGCATCTGCCCAAATTTCAAGTAGACCCTCGATATTGGCGTTCGACCATTGGGAACCCTTTACCCACTATTGTTTAAAATGATTGTCATTTGTCAAGGTTGCATCAACGAGGCTATACGTCATACCAGCTTAAGCACTCGCTCTGTAGACCAACAAACTGGACTTGAAGGGTCAAATGTGTTTGGGCAGTGGTGGAGCTAATGAGCAATATTTTAACCTTCAGCTGCTGATGGTGACCAACACCAGTCCAGATAAAAGTCTTGACTTAACAGTATGAAATAGCCAGAAACACAGAAACAAGGGAATGCTAACATTGCAACCTTATTTGTGTGATGTGGGAAAAGGCTATTGCGTGCGAGCATGAATGCTATTGCATCATACTAAAGTGATGTAGAGTCAATGTAGTGTTTACTGCTCCAAAGTGGTGAAAGGTAAATAGACAGGAGCAACTTGCCCAATGAAACATCGGGCATGTTGCTGCAGGAGCTGGGGATTGAACCCCCAACCTTCTGGTTGAGAGATGACAGACTCCACCAAATGAGCCACAGCCCCCCCAAGTGGCCAAAAAAACTGAAGGTGGATAGTTATCCGTGTTCAAACTGTGTTTCATACTGGCCTGTTTTCCTTATTATTGGTCTAATTTTGATATAGATACAGGGGTGATGGCCAGGGTTGGATGCATTAATTGCTGGGTCCAAGGGGGGGAAACGAGGGGATGAGCAGAGGGGGGAGATTGTAGGTCAGAATGTAAAGTTGGAATTAATTAGGGCCCATCGCGGGGGCAAATGAATGGTTCATTGTTATCATGGACAGACACTGGAGGAGGAACAATCTGCACTTTGTGCTCTGGGTTCACCTCTCTGTACCCCTCCTTCGTTTTTCATTGGTTGAACACAACAATGTTAATGTTTCGGGGATGCGACTAAAAGAGGATAATATTTTGAATTTTGAATTTGTTAAACCCAACACAACATGGTAGAAACAGTCATTTTGTGAATACGTTCGACGTATATAAGCTACAATCGCAATGCAGGTACTTTTGCAACATATTCATACAATGTGCCAATTTATAGATACAGCCCAACTTTTATGATTGATAACATTACATGTACAGGCTGTCTGGTAATGTATATGAGTAGTAATGAAACTAAGGGCTCTGTTTGAACTCAGCAGAGGGGAGAATGGGACAGGCAGGTGGCTCTTATCTCTGGCAGTCTGCCGCGTGGAGACACTCAGTGCATTGTATTCACCCTCACTTTCTCTCTCTCTCTCTCTCTCTCTCACCCTCACACACACACACATACACACTCGAGCGAAGGCTGCCTGGCTCCGTCCCAACCATCTGCTGTGGAAGGACAGGAGCCTTCCACTCAGCAGCGGTGATGTATGGTGTCTGGCTGCTACTTGCCACCTCACCCTGCAGTCACAAGTTCAACACTTCATCATATAGAGCCACGAGTGGGTCAAACTCCAGCGCTAATTGCTTTGAATGCATCGAGTGTTTGAGTGCATGACTCGGCCAGCTCACTAAGAACTACAAGAGCAAAGCTTTCATGTTGGACTGGATTGAACTTGAAAGAAAATCCATATTACAAAATGCCAGTACATGAGTTAGTCTGGAATGGCTATGTAAGTCTTTGACGTCGGGTTTGGATGGAAATTCCAGTCCATTGGTTCCTAATCCTTAAAAATTGGGGAGTCCCTCATGGAGCCCCTCATGGAGCCCTGGATTTATTCAAGAACACTTGCATACTTGGGGGAGCTACTTTTAACAGCTCAGTTGGAAGGTTGGCTGCTTTAATCTCAGCTCCTGCAGTCACATGTTCAAGTTTTTCTTTGGTAAGACACATAACCCCATATTGCTACCGCTGCTACATCACCAGCAGAATGGGAATGGAATAGTACTGATTGGGCTGTTAGGCACTTTATGCAGCAGCCACATGCAATCAGTGTCCGAATTGGTAAATATGACTTGTAGTGTAAAAATCATTTACCAAGATGGCGGAGTCTGACGCTATGATGACACATGTACACTTTCCCACAGTGTGGTACCATTGATTTTGCTCACTGAAGTAAAGGGTAATTGAACGGCTATTGGACCAATACCTATTATATTTATAGATTCATGATCCACAGAGGATGAATCTTAATGACTTTTACCATCCCTTTCCTTTCATTTCTCTAGCAGTATTCTTTTTTTCCCCAGATTACCAAAACGCTCCAATAATCATGAACATGGTTCACAGTTTAGCTGCTTAACGCTGACTCTTTATTCTAACGTGATTGAGCTATCAAGTCAAACAACCCAAACCAATTGGAAAGACAAACCATTCTCCCAACTGGGGTTCCATCAGCTCCAGATTTATTCTGTCTTGGCCTTAAGAGATTTGTCCTATTGACTGCAGTCCTGCATTCGATCGCAACTGTCCGCAAGCAAATTTACCCACTAAGTGTTATTTATGTCGTCCAGCTAACGGAGATCCATGCATCAGAGAGACTGTAGGACAACCTTTCCTCCCCATCGACATCTTGATAAGTGGAAAATTGCGCCTGGAAATGGAGCTGGAGAAGGTTTACGGAATCTCTCCCCCCCTGCATAATTGCAGCCTCGGAGTTGGCCATAATTAATCTTTGAGAAAACTTGTCAAATTATTAATAGGGCCCTTAAGTGATGGCCCTGAAAGGAGGCCACTGTTCAGAGATGGAGGAAGAGGGAGCGAGGCTGTTGGAAGGGGTTGTTTACTGTGAAAATACCGAGAAGTTGCTCTCCAGGAGTTGAGCGACTCCACGTGTCAAGACTCTCCACACATGAAGGAGTTAAAGGGAATGTAGGTCCCTCCGGAAACCAGAGAGCTTAGACTCCAAACTTCAAATGTCATCGGGTAGAAAGTGAGCTGCTCTTTAGACACTAAATGGAAGACTGACTTGTCAATGATCCAAGCAGTTTAAGACTTTTTGGGGAAGGGTAAAAAGTTAATGTACAGAAATACTTGTGAGTTATTGACATCTCTATTTTCCAGTTAATGGGCTATACCTTTTACTCTCCCTGCCTCTCACCCAACCCCCAGATCCTGCTGAACACAACAATCATTGTTCACCAACTGGCCGCCTCACACCATCCCATTCACACTTTTGAATGTTAAAAAGTTTTTATTGATCTGCATACAAGAAAGGATGGACTACAAATGGATATATTTCAGGTTCTAGTTGGGAATATGTGCCATGTAGCCACAAATCTGTTGTTTAGATTGTGTTTTAGAGCAACTGTAACGACCAAATTTCCCTCCAGGATTATTTCTGGTTCTCGTTCTGATTTCTAGTAATTTGCCAACAAAAATGGACTCAACTCAACTCAACTTTATTTATATAGCACCTTTCATACATAAAAAAATGCAGCCCAAAAGAACAGAATTAAAACACAAAGACTGTCAAATACAAATAATTGAGGTTTTAGTACTGACATGAAATAAAACGAAATACAATAACTCCTAATTAAAAGCCACATTTAAAAAGGCAGGTCTTCAGTTTGCTTTTAAAAACACCCAGAGAGCTTTCTGTTCTGAGGTCCAGAAAAAAGTGGCCCCGCTTTTTCCATTCTATATTGTTGAGCCTCATCCGCTCAAAGAGAGTTCTAAAATGCTAAAATAATTTCCATTTCTTAGTTTAGCATTTTTGGATGGTTAGATTTTGCAGTTAAACACGAGTTACAGTACAGCTGTGGTCAATGGGGACTCTAAGGAGTGTCAGTATTTAAAGATGCTGACCCTGTCTATGTCAGAGTTATTTTAGACGGTGGTTCTTAGGAACAAGCGATAAATGGTTTTGACGCTTTTAAAAGGAGGTGTTCGGACATCCAACTATGTCATGAAGTTGGACCATCAAACTATCAATTTGAAAAGACAAAATCCCAATCTTTCGGTCCCTCTGCACCTTTGTGAAGAGTGATCTCAAACCAATTCCCACACATATCAAGGCAAAATACTAATTTAACCGGCACTCAGGAGAGAACAATGAAATAAGGCCTTCAATTCACGATTCAGCTCGTCTCTATTTGAGGGCACTTTTTACCTTTCATACATCAGACAATCATTGATTCATTCCCCATCAAAGCAATTCAATTGAAATAAATGAGTGCACCAAACACGTTACAATGACAGCAGATTTAGTGATGATACAGCATGTGTGTGCTGAATGTCTCTGAAGAATTAAGTGCTTACTGAGGTCGGGGAAATCAAATGTTTAGGTATGATTAGGTATAGTCACAAGGTTACAAGCGTACAGGTTCACTGAAAAATGAAATGAAAACCTACCCCACCATTCAGCCAACAGCCAGGCTTGAGGACTGCCTTTTCCTGGGGAATCTCCTTGTAGCAAGGCCCAGTTGTCCCTGAGGTTTGCTCCTTCAGCTTACCCGACCTGTTCAGGCAAACACGTATTCAACTTCACCAGCCTGCTCAACTTGTGCTCAAGCAGCAATTCAATCGAACTCTTTCATTTCAAAGTGATATTTTTGGGATGTCTCACCAAGTGTTCAAAGTCGTAAAAACAATTCCACAGCAGCAGCAGCACATCAGCTCATCAAGGGCTTGAAGTCTCTGGCGATTGAGTGCAGAGGACAGCTTGTTAGCATGAGCTTCACTTAGCATGAATGCTATTTGAAAAGGAAGATTAGACTCACCACGTAGAGGGGAAAGGTCCAGCTTTGTCTCCAGGATCCACATTAGGACGTTTTCACTTCCAGAAGTTCAGAATGAGCGTCTTACTGACAGATGCTTTCATCCAATGAGACAATGTCATCAGTGTTGCACGGGACTATGTACAGAGGTAGCGTTCCTTAATCATTCCAACAACAAAAAAAAGTATCATCACTCATGATTTGTCATCATGTGTTTGGTCTCTCACATTTTCAAAATCGTTTGAAAAATGGCCACAGTGGGGTGGCACAAGCACTCTGACATCTCTCCATTAGTGCATCCTGTTTGAGCATGTCTATGCATTTCAGCATTCAGTATTAGGTGTGTAGCATGTTCAACAACAGAGTGTAAAATTGAATTTAGAGCCAGTTGTTGTCAGTAATAGGGAAAAAAAAGAAAAAAAGAAAAGAAAGTGGCTGAGGGGAAACAACAACATCATGTGTCTGCTCTGACACCAACACATACCCGGTGTATAATTTACACAGGAAGCGAGGAGCGACACCTGAGCTCCTCTTGTCAAGCGGCAGGACAGATGGTAACTTCAAAGATTTCACAGTCTGTCGCACTTTACCTGTGAGGGTAGCACTAACGTCAGGAACTCGCTAAATAGGACCGACTATATGATGCACTACGTGTCTTTACTTTAATGACGCCACCACAAGATGGCGTTGTTGTTATTTCTGAGATGAAGAGGGCAAAAGGGAGTTCCATTAAACTGGATCCTTTGGTCGTCTTTTTTCCTCCATGAAGATTCATGGCACTGCTGGAGCATGAAGATAACAGACCTCGTGCTTATTTTCAATGGGCCGCACTTACCCTGTAACATTTCAGCTGGAGTAAAAGCCTCCCTTAAAACCATTGCTGAGGAGTCTGTGTTCAACTGGTGCCACCTTGTGGTCAAAAGAATGAATGGCATCAGTCCCACAATGTGAGGAGCAGAATCCAACTACCTATGGAAAATAATACCCAAGCTACATGTGGCTGCAGGAGGTTTGGGATTAAACCCCCAAATTTTCCAGTTGAGAGACGACCGACTCTACCACTGAGCCACAGCCGCCCATGAATTATGGGACGCAGTGGGTCATCATTTCTGGATTTTGGGTGAATTTCCCAACATAGAAATGGAATTCCCAAACATTTACTCGAGTAAAACTGATTTAAAAAAAACAAAAAAACAGAAATACTGTGAAACATATTAAAGTCATGCATATAAAACACGAGTATGTTTATTTACATTTACCACTTTATGACCAACTGATTTTTTTTCCTCCTTCTGCCCAGCACTGTCTTCTGAAATAAAAACAAACTTTTGGATGTTTGCATTGGCAGTTGAAGTTAGAGAGAGGCACTGTCTGAAGTTCATACTCATAAGAGCTATGACCCGATTAAGGAAAGTGGGGTGAACAGTGGGATTTCTCTGCATGCATTTGGCTCCATCTAGTGGACTGTACAAACAACAGCATTTAGTAATCCTCCTCACAAATGCCGTAAGTGTATTTACAGACGGTAAATAACAGATGTGCCTGTTCAAAGGCAGTTTTTCCTTTCCACTGCTTCTTTACTAAATGTTGACGTTCTATGCATGGACAATGTTGGGTCTTTGTAAATACTATAAAAAAAGAGTAAGGTCCAGAGTCTTCTTGAACTCGAACAAAATAATGCCACTTGAAGTTTTATGCTATGTGAGAAAAAAAATGAAACCACGTTAAAAACATCATTGGCAGGCTTCTTTTTTTTTTTTTTTTTTTTTTTTATTGTTATTTTTTTGCAAGACAATCTGTCCATTTTAATTCCAGTTACAATAAATGCATAACAACTGTTTCAGAGGATGTTACAAGGATTATCATGAACAAAAAAATTAATACTTTGGCTGCCGACTCTTTAAATGTATTTACAAACACATAAATGTACTTGATTTATCTTAGTTAGCGCCCGACCGATATGGGATTTTTGGAGCCGATACTGCTGTCGATATTTAGGGAGATAAAAAAAATCTGATACCGATAAATGTGCCGACAAAATCAGTTGAGCATGTATGGGCATCACCGCTTGACACTCTGGAGAGTAATAATGCATCCATATAGCGCCCCCTGCTGGTAAAAGAGAATTGCTAATGTAATTCTATGATGCTCAAATTAAATGTTATTTGACTGGTGAATAAATCTAGTAATATCAGCGTATATCTGCAATAAAATTAGCCGATACCAATAGTCACTTGATATGCTGATATTATCGGCTGGACGATAAATCGGTCGGGCTCTAATCCAAGAATTATCCCACTCATTCGGGTGGACAAATCATGCAGCAGAGCTTTAATTTGTTGAAAAGATCATGATATTGCTGGAAGAGGCTTAAGAGGGATATGACCCAAGTCAGAAAAAGAAAAGCATACAAAAAAAAATAAAAAAATCAGTTGGGGAATACTCTAGCTGTCACAGTTTAGGCTCAAAGCGATGACAATGACACACGACAACAATATCATCCATTTGTAAAGCAAAAAAGTGCAAAAAGGCAAATTATCCATTTGGGAAGATTTAAGAATTCCAGTTCAAAAACTCGGGACGGCTAAGATAACACTTTTCTCTAACCCATCGCACCAAGTTAAGCAGATTCACAAATCAGACTGTACATAAATTCTTCAAAGTGCAAATATTATAAATTGGCATGAGCTGTTATATACACGTTTCATTTTATCTGATGACAACAACAAAATGAAAAAAAAAAAAAAAAAAATGCATGTCTTTCTTTGTCCAGTTAAGCCCTGAGTATACTTGCTTTTAACTAGGCGTATGCATGACGTATCCTGTGGTGGATGTGAACGGCTGCGAGATGCAATATGCATATATAACCACTAGGGGCAGAGTATAGTTGTATTGTGAGACACCAGAGAGCCGCGACAAAAACGGTGGAAAGCGGTGAGTCAGCAACAACCCTGCACTATGATGTGTCAGTGCCGCAAACATCACCTCTACTTCTGTGTTTTACACCGTCTGATCAGTGTGGTGCTCCCTCTAGAGGAATCCTCCAGTAACACAGCGTTGCACACAGGAAAGTATGTGAACATTTACATTCACGAGGCAGCGGGTGGTCGACGCATTTGCACGGTTCAAAAGTAAGTATATTTAAGCCATTCTCAGGGCTGCACGAGCTACTCAACACTCTGTTCATGCTGGACAGTGTGTCCTCGCTTCATGGCTGTTTTAGACCATCGTCCTCAAAATAAGAAACATCTCCTCTCCACACAGAAGAAGCTTTGTTGCGGGAACCAGAAGCTTCTGGCTCCAAGAAAAAAAAAAGAAAGAAAAGAGGAAATTTTGAATCTAATCTAAATCAGAAAATCCCAGAGAGAGATACATGAGTTGGGTTCATCTAAATCATGCACAACCAGTCACATTTTAGTTGCTTTTATTGCATTTTTCTCTGATTTCCTGTTCATTCAAATGATTTTTGTTGGCAAGTGAACACAGTAAAGATTTCTGTGATCTCTCTCTGCAGCTTGTTTTCGACTTTTCTCCAAAACTGATACCGTTTTCAATTTCACCTTTAGCACGGGACTTTGCATCCGCAGCATTTACAAAATAAATTGCATACGACGATTCTATTCCGAAAGAGTATCACTTACAGTAAGCACGGCTCGTTACAGCTACTGCACTGTTATGTCAAACGCTTCCAATTCCAGAGCACTGAAGCAGGAAGTGCATAAGAAGCCGACCTCCCGAACCGTCCTGAGCTCTGGGCCACTTATCTCTGAATAGACTGACGGATATCTTGGGCTTCAAAAAAATAAAAAGACTGTGATTATCCAAGGAGCATCCACTGATAACTGCTCACCCTGGGAAGTGTTACAGTAACTGTTTAGCCAGTTGATTTGTCGACTATATGTGGGAGACGGGAAAAACCAGACAGCAGCGTGACATGTTTAAAGGTGAAAACGGAGATGTGTTGTGATACGACAAAGCCTTAAAAAAAAGGTGAGACAACCTACCTAGGAAAGCGGAGTAAAGAAAAGGCAAGGGATGAGCGGGTTAGATGAAATGACTACTGACTTGTTTTTAAAGCATTTTTTTAATTTGATCCTTATTGCAGCGATATGTTAAATCACGCCCCTTTAGTAAAGTCTCATGATAGGTAAAGACATCATCTGCATAGGTTGGAACATCAAAATTCTTATAAGCGAGAAAAGCTTTATCGAGCACATTTTCAAGGAATTTTTTTTTTTTTTCAGTGACCTACTGTGACTGACTTTTATCGACTTTGTTTTCCTCTCTCTCTTTTTAGGGCAAGCAGAGCTTTTCTGACGTCTATCCAAAACACTTGTTCAAAGGCTCAGACAAACTGGGGGAAGTTCATCTGAAGTCCAGTGTTGTCGCGGCTCATTTGACCTTAAAAAACTAAAAGTTTGGATTTAAGAGATGACACTGTAAATGTTGTGTTTGGTTTACAAACACGACATGTGTCAGGGTCTGTGATATGTAAACCCACATATAGGTACCCTTTAGGCAAAATCCATCAGCTTGCTGTTTGGCGAGGAATTCTCGGGCGAAATCGCTGAGATGTAGGTCACACGCACGGTCGACCTTGTCAGGGTTGGCTGGTCGTTAAGGTAAGACTAGATGGAAAGGCAACCACTTCCTACATTTACTTTTTCTTTATATTTGACCTGCAGTCATGAGATGGTTCCACAGGGAACGCAGTTTTATAGCAAATGAGCTACACTTTGTTACATTAAAATACATTTTTTTTCTGGTTCAAAGATTTCCATTGTGCTTTCGTTTAAAGTGTCTTTGTCTCTTAGAAGTAAGGGGTTGGCCTCTTTTAACTAAGGTAATGTTTTTCTCAGGGACTGTTGAGAGACTTTTTTTTTTTTCTTTCTTCTCCGGGGATCTTGGAGCAGGCAGTGAAGAGAGTTCGGCGTGAAAGAAAATTAAAAATAAAAAAGCCAGGGCTGAAAATCGAATCATCAAAGACTGGGGTTTTGGGGGCTCAGCTCAGAGGAAGCGGAGGGGTTTCAGAGTGAGTCTTTTTTTAATGAGACTGGTGAACATTTTGTCCCTACTTCTCGCCTTCATTCCTTCCCCGTCTTCCTCTCTTCGCTGCGAGGCTCCTCGGTCAGGTCATTCGAGGGGTAGGGGAAGGAACTTCACATTGGAAAGGAATGGTGATGATGATAAGGAAACCTGTGGAGGAACAAAAAATACAATCAAAGAGAGCAAGAAGCAACAGATGGTTCTTCTTACTTTGATATGGAGGGGGTTTATCTTTACCTTTTTTTTTTTGTTTAGTAGAGGAAAAAGAGGCGTGTTCTGTGAGAGGTGGCCATGTTCTCTGACATGTTGCGGACTTTAAGGTAGTTCACAAATCCCCTGAAGAACAGCAGCAGACCTGGAGAGAGAGAGAGAGAGGAAGGTTCATTTCAAAAAGCGGAAATCTCAAACAAAAAAAAAACGGTGCTGGACAATCAGGTCGTACTCACCGAGCAACAGGAAGATCCACCAGAGCCAGTATTGACCGTTAAAGTAGCCGGTAAAGTAATCAGAGAACTGAGAACAGAGAAACAGAATCATTACTTTTGGTTTTGGAAACACCTCGTAAGGTTTTAAGTAGGGCTCGACCGATACTTTTTTGGGGCCGATATGTGATTGTTGGGGCCGATATCGGTATTGGGGAGCAAAAAAACAGATATCGATATCAGCCGATATCTTTCTTAGAGCTATGTTCAATCTGTAGAGATAGATATAGCTTTTCATTTACTTTGTTGATCCCTCAAATGCAGTTGTCAAACACTTGGCGAAAAGATACGCAGTATAACGTAGACAGGATGGTCACTGCTTGACACTCTGGGTAGTGATAAAGCTTGTTGTAATCCAAATAGCACACCCTGCTGGTGACAGCCAGGAAGATAACCGCTAGTGTGGTGCAACAACACTCAAATGAAATTCTATTTGACTGGTGAATAAATCTAAATGCGGAAAAATTGGACGATACCGATAGTCACTTGATATGCTAATATCGGCCGATAGTATCGGCTGGCTGATAAATCGGTCGAGCTGTAGTTTTCAGAAATGAAAAAACTAAATACATATCCTATATTGGCCCATGTATACAAAGAGCTCCCCCTTAATACAACAACAACAATCTGAAATGGAAAAACACACCCTGACTATGAGAATCCACTTGATGAGAGAAAGGCCAAAGCCGCAGATGGCCCCGTAGCGTCCTGCGATGGTATTGGTCAGACAGAAGGACAAGCAGAACCCGATCCAGTTGAACAGGAAAGCCACTAGAGGGAAAAACAAACAGCATGTCACAAAAAAAATGTTTAAAAAAGGAAAGAATGTGGCCATGATGCTTTTATGGATGTTTTGTGATAAGAACATGTTCGATTGTGAAGGCAAACACCAGATTCATGAACCGTAAAGTTTGGTGTATCAGACGCACTTTATTTTTAAGGTTTCATTTTCGGCTTTTTCAGGCCGTTATTCAGAGATAGGACAGAGTCAGAAATTCAAGAGAGAAAGGGCGAGGAACGACATGTGGGAAAGAGCCCAAGGTCGGGGCTAGAACCTGGGACGCCTGCCACCAACCACTACATCAAGACGCACTTTTAGTACCTCCCCCCCGGTGGTTGGACATGAGCTCACACTGACAAACCTCCGTCTACACACCCGATGAGTCGCTAGCAACAACAGCTAAGCCAGCTACACAGGGGCCGGTGTTCGATCTCCGTTCAACAAACAAAAAGTTTGTTTTCCTCTCCTCTTGAGGACACACCTGACAAAGCTGGACTTTTTCTCTTTTCCAAATCTGCATCACGCCTGGTTTCCCCCCCCCCCCCAAGGCGTATACCGCTGAAGCGATCCAGAGCGAAGCCGCTTTATTTGGCTTACATTCTAGCGTTGAAACTTGAGACTCGACAGATGAACGGAAGCTACTCCGGGGATGTCATGAACAAATTTTTTTTTTTTAAAAGACACACAGAAAAGGAACTCTTGCCTGGAAGTCGTTTTACGCTAACCGCTTGCTTCACCTGAAATTCCCTCCCGCTCCTGGAGGCATATCTCGTCTCTGAGACGATGATTGCCACCTATGGTGACATGTCAGGAAACAAATATTGACACTGTTGTGTTTGGGAGGAAAATAAGTGGTTCCATCCTCTCATACCGGCTGGCGTGACATTTTTATTTAATGCATTGGAAGAGAAAAAAAACTTACTGAAAAAGGCCAACATGAAGATTCCATCGTTCCCAACTCGCAGCTGATCGGCATCACTGAAATCATCTCGGGGAGGGAATTCATCATCCTAACGTGTACACACAAACAAACAAACAACCAAACAGTGAGATGAAGCAAAATGTAAATATGTACATTCAACAAAGGCAAACCTACAAGGCTTAGGCGGTATTACAACTTTCCCTGCAGGCTGAGAGCTGAACTACCGTACTGTAGCTAGTAGGATTTTTTTTTTTAATTTATATATATATATATATATATATATATATATATTTTTTTTTTTTATTATTATTTATATATTTATTTATTTAATACAAGACGGTATTATGAAAAAACGAATACCACCCAAGTCTAATACCTACTACAAAGAGTCAGTGTGTGTGTGTGTGTGTGTGTGTGTGTGTGTGTGTGTGTGTGTGTGTGTGTGTGTGTGTGTGTGTGTGTGTGTGTGTGTGTGTGTGTGTGTGTGTGTGTGTGTGTGTGTGTGTGTGTGTGCTCACCCGAGGCATCACGTCCACAGTGGAGGTAGCCAAGGCGGCTGCTTTGGCCTTCTCTGCTTCGTCATACGTGGGCAGCGAGGTCGCGACGCTGTAGGGCGGAGGCACTGGGAAGTCGGCTTGGAAGCCACTCTCTGTGAGGACGATGTAGAAGAGAGGACGACGGGTCAGAAAAGGAAAAAGAAAAGAAAAAAGAATGTGCTCATCCCGTCATGGCCACAAAAAAAAAAAAAAAACTCCACAAAACCACGACTGTTGCTATTTTAAGAAACGTGCAGAAACATTTTCTGGGGCTGCACGTTTTTTTTTTTTCCATACCAGGCGAGGCAGCGGTTGCTCCTAGGTCGATGAAGGCGTAAGGAGGTGGAGGTGCATCAGTGTCCCCTTGAGTCGTTGATCCGCACGGCTCTTCTGCTGACGGGGCAGGAGCCGGACCGGCCTGGGCCTGGCTCTGGGCCTGGCTCTGGCTCGACGTCCCAGCCTGGGCCGCCGCGGAGGTGCACGGCTGCTGATCGCTGGTCGACGCCTCTGAGGAGTCCTCCTCATTGTGCAGCTGGGGGGGGAAGAGATGTAGAACGGGGCAAAAGATCAGGCGAAGTAGTGCGGCCGCTCGAGGCAGGAGACTACACAGTATGTCAACACAAGAAGGCCTTTTGAAAAGTCATCTGCAACATATTTAAATCAGGTCATTAGTGTCCCAATTCTCACTACAGCTGAAAGAGTCTGTGACAAACTTGAGTGCATTCATTTTTAAGTGCCAGAAGCGTTCTGAAATTACAGAGGGCGATGGGAACATGGTGGTTATGGAACGGCTGGCAGGGAAGTCAGAGTGGGCAAAGAGAGGAGAAGGGGAGGGGGGACGGACTCTTCCTAACTTTCTCTGGGGAAGTTAACCCAAAGCAAGGCCTCAATCCACCTTGTAATTCTGAGCTCTACATAATCAGGGCCCCGAAACCGATAATCAGAGAAAGCTGCCGCAGACTTGAGCTGGCAAATGTTACACCGCTAATGCAAAGATTACCTAAAGTAGTCTCAATGCGGTTAAGCAAGTTGAACTTGTTCGGAGCCTTGAGACACGTCCCTGATGTGTCAACAGTTGGAATAAATGTGCTTTAGCTTTGACAAGTATGTATTTATGGTACAACCCACAACAGAAAGGGGGGGGGGGGAAATCACCCTTCCTCGCACCATTTTATGTCACACTGATAAAAGTCCCAGAATGAGAGATATCAGGTCATAATCAAGGGCTTATTCGTGCGTCACCACGGCGATAATATCCTGAGCAAAACCCTGGAATTCAAAAGCGCTTTTCCAAGACTCCACCAGCAGCGGCACCGGCGGTCGAGTTGAACGAGTGGCTGACGTCTGGCTGGGAATCAAGGACACAATTTGCTGCTGCTGCCCCCCCCGACACACACACACACACACACACACACACACACACACACACAGGCCCGATTACATAAGATTGTAACACAGTAACCACAAGCCTCCTCGTGAGTCTGAACATCTCAGAAACTCAAGAAAGAAATGAAAAGGGGAGGTCCTGTACTCGAAGAACCCTGAGCGGTATCCAGATGAGAGAAGAGAACATCTGATGGCATAATGTGGAGAGGAAGTGACGACAGATGACTCTTATCTGATTGTCTCGACCTCTTGAACCTACATTTCTTTTTTTTTTTTTTCACAGTCTAAATATTTCACTCTTGGGCCAAGGTTAAAAAGTTAAAGCACAACATTAGCTTACTTTTAAACAAACACTCTCAACTATTACAGTTCCTTTAGGTGTCTGGTGACACTTGGGTCACCATCTTTGTGGCTAAAAAAAAAAAAAAATCGCAAACATTCCCCAAATTGACCGCTGACCTCAAACACCTCACCGCCATTGAAAGCTGAACTAAATTAGAAGCCATGACTTCAGAAGTGTCACAGCAACGCAACGTGAAAATTACACTGTCAGCTTGTTTAAAACGTCAACTTAAAGACTCACAACATTTATCTCGGCTGGCTGGTTGCTAATGTTAGCCGAGTCGATGCGGAAGTGCTTGGGTGCGTGAGGCTAGCTGTCAAAACAACACAATTTAAGACACTTGAAATAGCCAAATATGTTATTTGACAGAACAGCAGAGATGTCACAGTGGTTAAATTGTGTCTACGTCATGTAATTCACTAGTACACAGTTTTTAGTGGGGTTTTAACTCGTGTAAGGCCTTGTTTTGTCTGTGACAGGCCGAGCTATTGACGGTGTTATGATTCACACTCACCACTTGGTATCGGCTCGCTGGGTCCATCCCGAGGAGATTCAGCTGGCAACGACGCCAGCCGAGGAGACAAAGATGGGAAGTGTTTGGAGCGAGGTGTTCTCCCAAAGCGTGGCTCTTCTTTTTCTAACTGGGTAACAAGCAGGACCGACGGGGGAGAGATGGCTGCGAAACCTCCGCGGCGCTCCGTCAAGTAACTAACGGAGACCAACAAAAGTGAAGTCACGCCCACATGTGGGGGCACTTCCGGTCCAGTTTTTCAAAATAAACCTGACGGGATACTTGTATAATTAATTAAATCATTAAATGTGTCATCAATTATTCTATATTGGAAATAAATCAACAAATGTATAAATAAATATATAATTGTTTGATTAATTAAATGCATGTGTGTAGTGGAACAAACAGATGTGTTTTTACATTGATTTTAATCATTATTTAAACATGTATTTCATAACTTATTTATTTATTTATATATATTATCAATTTTAAATAATTAATGACACATTGAAATAATTATTTAATTATTTAATAACACATGTATCTAATTAATTAAATAATTATATATGTATGTATATATTTGTTGATTTATTTCCAATATTAAATAATTGATGACACATTTCATGATTTAATTAATTATATATTTATATATTTCATTTTGCCACTTTTAGTCCTCCATAACAAACGGCTTTTTTTTTATAATTTATTTTCTTCCCTCAGGGGTTCACTAAAAATACACAATATTTGCTCGTGTATTAAAATATAAAACTACAATAATATTACCAGTTCAGCAAACTCATGTCTAATGTTTTTGTAGCTTTGTTACTGCTGTGTGTCTTCCACACTATTCGCCCCCAAAATAAAGGGGCCAGAGTCTCGGGGCTGTCTTTTAGATGTCCCTAGAGATGGTTAGAGCATAAAACTTTGTTGCACAGCCGAGCACACGCAATAAACCAGGCCTTTGGTAACTTGGTAATTTAAAGTAATTTCCATGTGAAGACTCTATCACTTCGTGGACTTAGAAAAACTTAATAAATAGACACACAAGTGTGAGCATCTTTGTATGAAACGAGCAGCAGACACCTACTGTATATTGTTGCTGTCGTGGTTTAACTTTAAAGTCCCCTTGAAATGAAAAAAAAAAAAAAAACATTTCCGGTTTTTAATCTAGCTTTCCTGTAGATGTTTTATTTTTTTCGACACTCTCTTGAATTCCGACTCTCCTCTGACTTCTGGCGAACTTGATACAGGCGCATTTCCAACCCCGCTCCGCGAAGCGTGATGACGCAATTCCATTGAAAGTGGTGTGAATAAATCTGGCCACTAGATGGAGCCAAACCCCGCTTACGTCACCGAACAAGCTCAACGTGGCATTTATGGGTTTTTTTGTATAATTATTTATTGGACACCTCTCTGCACACGTTTTGAGCTTCGGAGTTATTGTAATAATAATAATGAGAAAATAAGACTGCTTACTGTGACACACATTGTTTGACTGCTTCATGCATTCAACTCATCTTGAAATATATTTTGATGACTAATTACTGTCAACATTTTCTCATGACTCCTTATGACCTTTTTCTAACTTGAGTTAAGGGTGCAGTTTGGCCGTATAGCAGATGCACTTCTTCCAGTTTAGCTGTGTTTTCATTTTAGTCTGTCTTTCACCCTCAGGACCTCAGGATCCTTGGCGGTCTGCCTTCCGGTTACCAAGCGATTTGTCCTTCTGTTTGTGTAACACCATAAAAAACAAGCAGGTCCTGCTGAAATCTCACCAACAGCCTCTTCTGCGGAGAATAACCCCCGGATGGATTTTCATGGTTTTTCTTCCTGGTTGTTTCTGTGCTGGATGATTTGCCCCATGCAATATTTTGCCCGACATTACCACCTCCATGTTAAGAAGAGAAACACCGCTGAGGCATCTCACAGTCATGTAGAAGTTGAGTCTACTTGTGTTTGCTTGTGGGTGCCAAAGAGAGTCGATTTCATACAATTTCAGCAACTAGGCCAATCCCAAAACCATTTTGTTTAAAGTAAATAACTGGGGGGGGAAAAAAGCCAAAATCCCCGTTGGACTCGCTTTAATCCCCATGTTTCTATAATATTTTTTTAATATATATTTCCCATCTAAATCAAACTTTCTGGAAATTGTTTGTGGCCTTACCTCATTCTGAAGTTCACCCATCACATATTTTGCCTCTGTGCTAATCCTGGATCAGCCCTGCAGTGGATCAGTGCATGAAAGGCTCTTGGTACCTTTGTGAGTGCAAGAATTAGAGTTTCGAGGATAAAGCACAAAGGGGTTCAAAAGACCAGTACTGATGGAATTTTATGGGATAGTTGGGATTTTCAGGAACCCTACAGTTTAAAATGACTGTTTATATAGACAAATGGAAATGTATGTTTAACTGGGTACAGGAAATTCTGATGGAAAACATTGCGGTGATGCATTGCCAGGGGTGTGTCCAGACTTTTCTTGAACTTGGGGGGGCCCGCCTGGTGCACTGACTTATGCAGAGGTGGCCTGACGTTTGTGGACACGCAAATTCATGAAAGTGTTTTTTTTTTTATTTATTAGTGATAAGGTGAACAAAATGAAACAAGAATATATAGACATGACAACCAAAGCGAGAACAAATGAAGAAAAGACAAAAATAAAACAGACAAAATAGCAAAACATAAGCAAAGAGTAAGTAACACAACTTGGCAACATATAAATCTCCTCATCTTGATTCGTTAGGAACTCAAAACAAAGACGTATGTGCAAAGTGGCAATTTTAATGTCTTAGAAAAATGCATGCAAACTCTTAAATACAGTGTAACCTGCAAAAATACATTTATTGGCAACTGAGTCCATTTCAAGTTCCACAGTATGCACATGTTTTCTCTTGGAAATTTTCATGGAAAGTTTATTTCAACTGATAGTTTTAACCATTAGTTGATTGAAAACAGCCTGAATAGTTGATTTGTACTCAAGTCCCAGATCTGATAGCCAATTGTAGATTTAGATTTTTGGGGTAGCACCTGGGGTGGCCAAAGGGGGGGGCCCGTGCCACCGCTCGCCACCCTCCTAGACACGCCTCTGGCTTTAACCCCTCTGACCTGCTAATACTTCTTAGACAATGTTAACACCTCTTTATCTGCCCGATCATCATCCCTTTGATACACCGAAAGCTGCAAAGCCATCCTGAAATGAAATGAGGGAGAAAAAAGAAATGAACACACAGCGAGGTATCGATAAAAGGCTAATCTTGAATTAAATATTAATCCAGTTCACTAAGACGGGAATTACCGTAGTAGGCCTCCAAGTGTCAGTTAAGCAGCTCATTCACAGAGAGAGAGAGTAAGAGAGAAAAGCGGAGAGTGTTGGGGGGGTAAGAATGTGGAAAAGAAAGGTAGGTGCAACCTTGTGCATCAGCACATCATGAATTGTTTTGCCCTTTGTGAGGCAGCGGGACATTAAGGATTCCTGTAGGGGTAATATATGAGTTCACGGCTGCGGCTTTTTAAGCATCAGCCGTGCATGAGAGCGAAGATGACTTGATGTAATTTGCCCAGCTGTGTTAGATTTCCCACTTTTCCAGCACTTAAGAACATCCATCACTGACACACACACACACACACACACACTGCGAACAGGCATGAGCACACCCACCCACTCGCCCACCCACACGCTCACAGTCAACCGCCCACACAAAAAAAAAACAGAATCCGGATGTTGTTACTTGGCAACATCATTTCAAGGTAAATAGGTGTTATGTAAAATGAGTCAGTGGGTGTCTCTGTCAGATGCTGCAGCTTTGCAAAGCGGCAGACTCATTCTTATGCTAGCTTTGTTATGTGACTGGAGGTGAGTGTTTTGTTAGCTGCTGATTGAATTTGTGTGTTACAGGGGGAAACACCTGTTAGGTTTGAATAAGACACAAGCAGAGATTTAATAGCCTAGCTGCGGCGTATCTTAGATTTCTATTCTTTATGTGAGGAAATTGCATTTCAGGAAGGTCACGCAGATGACTCAAATGCTGCAATCTTACAAATAGGATCATAATTCAGTCTCCACGGCATTAAGTTGTAAATGAAGTGATGTATTTCCTGTAAGGGATTGTGTGGAAATGGTGCAGGGTGAGGAGGGGTCAGAAAAGGAGGAGAGTTACGACTTTTTTATACTGAATGTTCTGCATTCGGATCTTTACTAAGAGGAATTACAACATTTTTTGATGGATACCGATATTGATATAAGGGATTTTAAAACTCTGCTGGTGACAGCCAAAAATTTAACTGCTACTGTAATACAATGAAACTCAAATGACTAGATCTAGTAATATCGGCGCATATCTCAAAAAAGTAGCCGATACCGGTAGTCACTTGATATGCTGATATCGGCCGATATTATCGGCAGGCCGATGAATCGATCGGGCTCTAGTAAAAAACTATTACACAAAGTTGAAGAAACTTCCATATGTATATTTGGAGACACAAATATTGTGGATAGAGCTTAACTACAACTCCTGAGGTGCATTGCAGCAAGACACGCTCAATCTTGTTGCTTAAAATGAACTGAAATACGCAGTTTACAGCCATTTATGACAATGATTACCATGTAGAAAAACAGATACTATGATTTGTAACTTCTTAATCCAGTGGCTTTTTCTACATGGCAACAAGAGGCTCATGGGTATTGTAGTGCGAATAAGGCCTGGCCAAAATTAGTTGATAACTCTTTAAATTAAAGCCATTATTTTCACCATTAATTAGTTACTTATTAGCATGCTAATAATTAGCATATCGGCTGCCTATTAGTCATTATTAGGCACTTATTCTACATGACCATATTCTATAGCTGATAACCTTCAATATCCTCCGAATAAACCTTTATTGATTGTAAGTTCAGAGTTTTTCTTCATGAATCATGATCTTGATATGTTTTTGCCTAATTCTACCTTACAAGGATCGTATTTATGTTCAGCCACTTCCTAACTTCCTCCATCCATCCATCCATTATCTTCCACTTATCTGGAGGCATCAGCCCAAGACGTCCCCCTACCGAGCAACGTTTTCCAGCTCCACCTGGGGAATCCCAAGGTGTTCCGGCTAGAAGGGATATACAGTATCATCCCACCAGGGAGCTCTGGGTGTAAGCCCCCTGGGTCTCCTTCTGAAGCACAGAAAACCTCCAGAGGGACGCAAGCAGGAGGAAATTCTAATCGGACGCCCGAA